GCACCCTCCTAGATACGCCACTGTATATACCTAACTTTGCTGTACTGTACTAGGCTTTGAAATTTATTTTTAATTGTACTGTCTATGGGACTGATCCAAAATAAAAGGTACATTGAATTATGATGAATGACCAGCTAAAAATTTGAAGGAAGTCTTTCTTTGAACACACATTTGTATTTTGCATATAACAGCACTGTAAGTGACCGATCAGAATTATTCAACCATTTGCCCAAAGACCAGTCCAGTCTAGAAGTCAAATCAATGAAGGACAGTTATCAAGAAGCATGCATTCCATTGGCTAGTAAATCGTTCCTACGAGAAAAGTATGTCAACTTTTCCAACACTATACGGATTGGACGCATTCTGGAGGATCTTGATACGTTTGCTGGTATTATAAATTTTTCCCAGTTTTAATTTAATTTGTTAAAATTATGTTTGGTATAATAATAATAATATATCTTTCTTCAGAAGAGCTGCTCTCATAACCATTTTTGACTTCCAAATGTGAAAGAACTGTGCCTCAGTTTTTGATTTGTGAATTTATGATTAAAAATAATGCCACTATCTCTTTTCCTTCATAGTTTGGATTAGTTACCAACACAACAAGAGGACGGGGGAAAAACAGTCACCTTTGGTGATAGTGACAGCATTGGTAGACCGTATAGGTGAGTATAATGTTATAGGCATAGGAGGAATGGGCTGAAGGGCTTCATCCCCCTACCAAACACATTTCAGTTTGGACACACACACATTTAGGCCTATGGGAACCATGCCCGAAATTATGTGATTACCTGCCGACACCTAGTCAAAAACCACCAATTGGCTACAAGAGAGCTTATAGAAAATCATACATATTAGTCTTCCAGAGAACCATTGAATCTAATTAATAAGCAGCATTTTATTTTTAGATCTGGATAGCACTGAGATGTCTGCAGACCATGACATAAAGATGACAGGTAATGTTACCTGGACAGGTAGAACATCAATGCAGGTATCCATGAATCTGATGCAGGTGAGAAATTTAGTGATGCAATAATACATTTCCATAATATGATTATTTAATCAATTAATTAATATTAATAAATTTAATTATGCATATGGGAAAAGGAAATGCCAAGCAGTAAACTTTCAGTGACTTTTCCAAGTGGCAATATTTTCACAAGATACAAACATGATACAGATTAAGCCTCTTTTTGGGGTTTAGGGAGTTCAGTTGTTTGTCATAGTGAGAAAGATCCTGTTAACAAACGTAACCTTAGATCCTGGGATTGGAAGACAAACATCCTAACCACCAAGCCATTCAACTCCACTTCAAAAATAGCAATGTTATAATAAATGATTGTTAAACTGATTTATAGTGGGGTTAAGTGACCCTGTCAAGCCTTTGTTGCTTGGTTTTATCTGTTCATACTGAATTTATGTTAATTTCAGGTGCAGGGTGGAGTTATGCGAAATAAGTTGAATGCAGTCTTTCTAATGGTTGCAAGAGATCCTGCCAATAAAGGGTAAAGCTATTGTTATTATTATTATTGTAATTATTATTATACTGTTATTTTAATTGTTATCATTATGCACATTCTTAATATTAATGTTTAATATATTATGGTTATTAAATATTTGTGATAGGTCGGCATTTGTTAATCCAGTGAAAGCTGAAACGTCTGAAGAAGAAGTAATCTTAATGGAAGGCAAGGCTGTCACACAAAAGAGAAAAGAACAAAGTCAACAGTCTCTCCTTAAGGTAGCCCCCAGTAACGAAGAGAGCACCCTCATACATCAGTTATTCAGCAACTCTCTTAGTAAGCAGTAAGTAATTAGATAATACAGTACTATGTTAGTATCCCATATTCAGAACACATTTCCCCACCAAAAAAAAGAATCAAACTACTTATGTTTAAAGATATAGAAAGAGCAGTAAACTTGAAGAACAATAAACTGGAAGAATTTTAATTTATACAATATAAAGACAAACAGAATGTAAGGTATAATAGTATTCATCTTTACTCCTCATTAAAATATTCTTTTTCTTAATAGGACGGTTTCATTTTCTATTCGTGAGAAACCAGAAAACACTGTTTGGATGGAAGATGCAAAACTTAAGAACATTATAATCTGTTTTCCAGAGGTAAATTTATTGTTATTGAAAATATAATTCATTTTATGTATTCATTTTAATTTAATTTTCAATTGTATGCACAAGTCTACAGTACTTTTAATTATCAAAAACAATATAAATATATAAAAGTGGCATTAGTATTAGTGTATTGTAATATCTTTTCTATATTATTATTATCACTATTATTACCTTTTCTATCATATAGTTATTGTTTCAGAATCTTTATTTGCAAATTGAAATCTATCGTATTTTTTTGACAGCAAAGAAATCTTTACAACAAAATATTTGGAGGTTATTTGATGAGGAAAGCAATTGAAATTGCATTCGCAGTGGCGTTGGTTCACAGGTTTGGTATATTGTGGTATCACAGATCCTCTGAATTTGTGGTGGTGCAGATGATGTGATAAAGTTCAGTATGATATGATATGTGCTATGGTACGTTGTAGTTTTGTGGTGATGTTATAAAGTGTGGTACAAAATGGTATGATAAGGTATGATGGTTTGGTATTGGTAATGTACATTGTAGTTTTGGTATGGTGATGTATAGGTAATTATGGTTTGGTAAAACCGTACACACATTATACTTTCCCAACTTTTATATTTAAGAATTTTAGGCTCTATTCTCATATATTATTCACAGAGTAAACTATTATTATGTTTGAGCCAGAGAAACTATCCATTTATGCCATTGAACTCTTTATTTGGGTTTTTCACCAGCCAATCAAAGGTGATCTTTCGATGTATTGATGACATCATGTTTCAACGGCCGGTTGAAGTTGGTTCTTTGC